TTTGGAGAATATTGGAGAAGCCTAGAAACAAGATCCACAGCTTCAGGCGGCATTCTTTTGTAGAAAATCTATGTTATTAGAAAGGTCGAAAAAACAAGAAACAATTCAAAACAGTTTTGATAAAAGACCAATGTTTAAGAATAAAAGAGGAATCAAAAGCTCGTGCATATACCTTGTGCCAAGGATGAGCTTTGATCTGAGGAAACTTGAATTCAGTATAATTTGGGTTCATGCATTTGATTTCTTCTCTAGTTGGGGTGCCCAGGATCTGAAAGCAACATGTAATATGGAACATCAAATAGTGCTTAAGCAGGTTGCCCGAAATCAGTTTAATATATGAAATATTAGCAAAGTATCGGTTACCTTAATTATTTCAACTAGTTGGTCTACTCCACTCTCTCCAGGGAAAAGAGGCTGCAAATATAGAAAGACGCTGATCAGCAAGATTATAGAAGAGAATGACAATGACAAAAATCTAGTTATTCAAGTTGGATGATAACGTCCACCTGCCCTAGTAGAAGCTCAGCCAGAACACAGCCAGCAGACCAAATATCAATAGCTGAGGTATACTCAGTTGCACCAAATATCAGCTCAGGAGCTCGGTAATATCTAGAACATATGTATGATATATTTGGTTCTCCTTTCATCTGTTTGAATCAAATCAACAAACATCTAAAACGGTTGTTCACTACATAAAAGAAACAATCTCCTCAAGGACATTCAGACATACCAACACTTTAGCACTTCCAAAATCACATAATTTTAGTTGGTGTGTATGAGGATTGACCTGTCATAAAAAACAGTGTTTTTATTTGAAATGTATGGTGCACTATATAAATAATATTAACATATTCACATGCATTTTCCATAAAAATCATTTTTCAAGAATTATAAGGAACTTCAAAAATATGCTTCCAATAATGCACAAGTAACATATAGTGATCAAGAGTGAACGCACCAAAAGATTTTGCGGTTTGATGTCTCGATGGCAAACACCTATACTGCCATGGATATAAGCTAATGCTCTACAGATCTGAAAAAAAATATCACACCGAATTTGTAACTATAATTGCTGCTAGGAACTGTGAAAACCCTGAACTGAAAGAATTACATGTCCCCAGAAAGCCCTTCTCAAACAGGGAAATATTCATACAAAAAAAAAGCTGCTAACTAAATGATATTTTACAGAAATGCTAGCCAACGAAGTTAGAAAATAAACATACAACCCACAGCAATTTAAAATTGACAAAGTCAACATAGAAAAGGGATGTCATTAATCAAAATGGTCAGTCTACTAGAAAATAAATAACAGTATGCAACTCCATCCACATTTGCGCTCAACACTAAGTAGCAGCTTGGTCCCATTAGCCAATCTAAAAGAAGCCTAGGGTAAGACTTTAGGGCAAAACAAGTGCTTCAACTTGCCTGCAGTCACCAGACACAATTGCAGACAAAAGATAGCACCAATGCAAACCCAGATCTATATTCCAGCATATCATGCTATTTAGCAAGCATTTCTTTTGGATCACAACAATTTTGCAGCCTATCTGCAATATCAGGTGTCTAAACAAAAGTTTACAATAGAAGATAAGTGATTCATAAGCTAAACAATTATGAAAAGAAACACTGCATCGCTTTTCACATTTTATTTGGAAACCAAAATAAAGATCCAAATTCAGTAGAAATTTATTTTCATTCACTTTTGTTCATATGAGTGTTATTTCACAGTTAGCAAGCACAATTAAGATCCAGCAGACAAAAATTCAATAAGAATCTAATTACAGCAAAGGTTACACTCCCATTGACAGAAAATACAAAGTTCATGAGACAAGTTTTTTTCTATCATTTCCTAAAAATTTAAGTATGACACTCCAAAATAAAGTTCCAAAGTTCCCAACATAGAAGTATTAGCAATACAAAGGAATTAAGAATAATAGCAGAATGTTCTTACCTGGTACATGTAGAGCTTAACATATATTAGGGGCATTCTCTGGTTCACCTTGTTATAGTGTTTGATCACTCTATGAACAGTTTCTGGTACATACTCAAGCACCAGGTTAAGATATAGTTCATCCTTCTCAGTCGTTGAAAAGAAGCAGTGCTTCAAACAGACAACATTTGGATGATCAAGAAGACGCATGGTTTGCAGCTCACGATTCTTATACCTTTTGTCCTGAAGAACCTTCTTTATTGCAACCGTTTCACCAGTTTCCAAGCATTTCGCCTGTGCAGATATAAAAACAAATTTAGCACAGCAACTTGGAAAAAAGAGTATGAGCATAGGTGTGGATTATAAAAGACAAATAATGTATATGATAAAGATATGTTCAACAACGCAGGAAATTTTCTGGTGCTCAAAGTGCGCCGTACAAGAGAGAGAGAGAGAGAGAAAGAGAGAGAGAGAGAGAAAAGAACACTTGGGAGGGACATTTCACTCTCTTCTCCCCGAAGAAATATGACGCGAGCTGCGTCCGGACAATGGACGTGATATAGCAGAGGTTCAAACTCCAGCTCTGCCCCGTTATATCACGTCCGTCGTCCGGACGCCGGACTCCGTACGTAATATTTTTTTGCTTCTCCCCTTACTATCTCTATTCTTTTACAGGGAACTCCAACAACACCAAATACATTCCCCTGCAACACAGGTAACACAGTAAACTAACCTGAAAAACTATTCCGAAGGATCCATTTCCCACAACACGTTCAGCCATATAGCTTATAGTCTTCAAGAAAGAACAAAATGAATCAGCTTTCAAACAAGAAGGCATACAAAAGTGAGCTTCTGTACAGATACAGAAAGTTAGAAAATTTGTACTGGAGTGCCTACATCATTATCATTATCCTTATCCCAACTAATCAGTGTCAGCAAACAGAAAATTTAATCTAAGAAAAAATTAATTGAGTGGTTTTCACCAACAAAGGCCAAAGGCAGTACCTGCTTTGGCTGGCCATTCCTCCCACCTATGGTAGTTACAATTATATGTCCAGTTTCAGTGCCATTTCCATCAACAATAGTTGCCTCAACTTCCTGCATTATGCATCATTAGATTAATATCCCGCTCACACAAAAATGACAATAAAAAATAAGTTGATCGCCACATTCAGATTTTTGGTACCTTGTCATCCCTTATCTTCAAGTCATTTATCTCATCAGGCAATCTATCCATGCCAAAAGCATCACCACTGGCATTTTTCAATCCTGAGGATGGCGCCATACTAACCGAAGCCATCCTTACCGAAACTCTATACTTATGAAGAACAAACTTCAATCGCTTGAACGGTTACTTTTCCAATTAGAAGCCTATAAATTTACCTACACGATAAAAATAGCTAATAAATTTATGTTTTAAGTATTGATTAAAAAGCAAATGAGGAAGTGCCAGAAGGCTTATTCCATTGTTGAAATTACAAATTTTACTAAACATGCAGTGCAAGCATATAGATTCAAGCAAAGTACTACTTTGGAGTTTACGGCCCGAGACATATTGATTCAGAAGTTGGAGAAACTCAGTATGTGTTCTCATACTGAATTTTAACAAAACCAAGCAAAGATGAATTCGTCCCTACACAATAATTAATAGCAGAAAAAAATAAGCCAATACGATCCGTTCTCAGTAGAGAATAGACCTAATCAAAGGCAAATACAAGCAATCATTGAACTCAACAACGTCGATAACAGCATTCATCAACCGACATCACCAAATCTAAAGTTCCTGCCAAATCAATATAAACATGATAAAGCAAGAGTTTTCCAGTTTGTCACACACTGACAATAAAAATATAAAACCCCATCACATGCAAAGGAAAAAACTCTCGCCAACCGCAACTATTACTTTTTTTTTAAAACAAACAAATCTCAAAGTTTTCTTATGTAAAATAGGAGATAAATAGCTCTGCAAAGCCATCAAAAACTCAAAAAATAATAAGAGGAACACTTGCCTTGAAGATCAAGCAGAAATAACGAAGAAGTGGCATCCATACAATAATACGAATAATTTTTTTTTCAAAAAATGGACACGAAAAAAAAAATCGCAGCTACTCTTAAGCTCCAAAAACAAAAGATCCATGGCAGAGATTAAAAAGCGCCCCTCATGTTTGTGTTAATAAAAACCTCTAATATAAACCAGTGGCGGGGTAGGGGAGAGACAAAGAGAAGCGCGATCTGACAAGAAGACCTCGCATGGATCCCATGAATACAAAAGACTATCAAAAACACCGATTAACCAAAGCACAAAAAGCAGAACCTTACAATTTCAGGCTACCGCAACACCTTGAACAGCAAAAATTCCACACTTCACGAGATGCAGATCCCAATCCCAGTCCAGATTAGGACTACTACTCCGCTCTGCCTCAGGATTTCTCCAAAAGAACCCGATGAGCGTTGGATCCAAACCTGCACCACGCGGTCCCTTCCCCTCTCACGCTCCCTCGGATTCGGTGACGGTCAAAGAAGCAGAAAAAGGATACCTGTGCAGGCTTCGCGTCCGGACTACTATCATTGCTCGCTCCCTCTTTTGACCGTTCAAACGACTCTTCCTGCTCATGCCGCCGTCTGAGGCCACAAGCAACTTTCCCAGTGCTCTTCCCCACAGCCTTAAAAAAAAAAAAAGAGAGATTTAAAAATATGGAGAATTTATATAAATTAAAAAATTACTCTTACGTTTATTAAATTTTATAAAATAAATTATTTAACACCACCTAAATTAAAATAATGGAAGAATTTGAACTTTCAAAGTCACGGATAACTTTTAAAAACCAACATATAACAAATGTATTATAAAATTTTTTTGACTTTAAAAAATTGACTTTATAGGCTATATAATAAAAAAATTTTGAACAAAATTTCATTTTTATTTACTTAAAAGGAATATACAAAAGAATTCTAAAACTTAGATCTCAATTTTAAACGAGCAAAACACTAACATATATTTGTTTGATCGTACTCGGCTCATTTTAATATGAAATAAATAAATATTTTTAATTAATTATATATAAAGATATAAAAAAATATTAAAAATAATTATAAATTTATTAAATAAGAAACTCAAACTAAATAATTAAATCCTATCATTTAAGTGATTTTATTTTAGTTATCTAATCATATTTTGATGGCTTGGATTAAATCTCTAAATCCTATTAAATAATAAGTATTTAAATAAAAAAGCCCTAATCCCTCCTGTCCAGCATTCTGCAGCCCTCAATTATTTGTTTCGGTTTTTGTTTCAATTTTGGGAGATTAGAAATAGTAGAAATCTAGAGCGAAATCCCTCTACTAGGGTTAGGGGTTTCTTTTGCCATCACCACGCAAGTTTCCTTGCTTCTTTCTATGTAGAAGAGTACTCGTTTCTTATTATCTCTCGCTTGTGGCTTGTAAGTTGCGACTCATCTCTATGAGTTTTTTCTAGTTTAAATTTTGAATCTCTCTTCTCTTATTCAATTATTCTTCTTATAATTACTTAAATTGCCCTTGTTGGTTTTATTTTTGAATTGCCATTTTTTAAAATAAGGAACAAATGGATCTCTAATATTTAAGTATCTAAATAATCGAATATGATATTAAAAGTAATATATTATCTCAAAAGATGAAAATATCACTTGATATTATGTTTAATTATTCAAACATAGAAATTTAGAATATTTTTTTGGTTTATGATATACTAACAGATATTTCTCTTACCTAATCCGAAGATTAGATAGAGTTTTAGCCTAATCTAGGTTACTAATTTCATATATGTGCAAACCCCTCTAATTGATTACATCTTAAGCAACTGAAGTCACTGATGTATAGATAATTGTGCTAATATTTCTTTACGATTACACATTTTTATGGATGAGATTGCACTTTAAAGAATAACTTTTTCTATGTTTTTCTTACAGATACATCGGGTAGTGGAAGTGAGGAAACGTGGAGGGGACTTGGAGCAAAGGAGCTTAATTGAGGATTAGCGCTTGGGCGACGGACCCCTGGGCGCCTAAGCGCCAGTCCCGCACCTGGACAGCTTGAGAGGTTGGTGAACCACTAGGCGCCTAGGCGCCGCGATACTGGCACCTGAGCGCCCATGCCTTCTTTAGAAAATAGACAGACTAGCGCTTAGCCACCAGCCCCTGGGCACTAGGCGCCAACAACTGCCTAGAACTATTTTGACAGTTTAGGAAGCCAATAATGGGAGTTGCTAGGAAGACGTAGATTGGTTTCTTATTCTTATTAATAGGTTTTATAAATATGTGTGTAACATGAATAAGAAGGATTGACAAAGGGGGATTGCTAGGATTGTTGATTGTGGAGTGATTGATAAATTTTGAGGATTAGTTTGTTGTAGACTCTTTCTTCTTATTCTAGTGCAAAGGAGAGGGTGAGCCATTAGGAGCAGCAATCCAGGTTTAGGAGGAGTCTTGGTTAAGCATCTTCAGGTCATTGTAAAGGATAGGAAGACAACTCTTATTTGTTTTTATTATTGTATTCCATTTGTAAACATTTGGATAGTGGATTTCTCTTATTTCAATGAATTTGTGTAGTGCGAATTTCTGTAGTGCTTTTCTCATGCTTCTTGAGTAGATTTATGTATCGTACCTTGTGATGATTTTGTAGGATGTATAGGACTGGAAAATACTTTTAAATTACTTTTAAATATTTAATATGATGATTAACCTTCATATCTTCATTTACTTTTCATTATGGCTAAGTGAAATGTTAAAATATGTTGCGAACCATAATGAATCGGGGGAGCTGCAGTAGAATCAACAAGGTTAGTCACATTGAACTATGGGATATAGGCTGATATGTCTTTTAGGGAAATGCAAATGTTAGGGAAATATGCTTTGATGGTTTAATTATGGGATTTAAGGAATTAAAGTTATTTTAACCAATCTTTTTTATACACTCGGGAGAGGGTAAAAAAGTGTGTTGCTTCTATTTATCACTAATCAATTTTATAATTTGCACTTTACAATTCCTATACTCCACTTACATCATTACAAGGGAGGGTATTTTTAGAACCTAATATTCATCAATTCAAACCACATTAAGTATGATTTCTGTAGGATTTACACTTTACAGTTTCTTTAGATGGTTTTGGATTACTTCAAAGAAACTAAATTCCAGGCTATGAACAAAATCAATATACTAGAACTTTTCCTATTTTGAAATTATCTTGTTCTTTGTGGGATCAACATTCCAGACACTAAAATCTAATGTTAATGATACAACATGTGCACTTGCATGAGCCCCTAGTGTGTAGCAATACCTTGAAACAGTATTAAGTTTTTGGCGCTATTGCAGGGGAGCGACATTGAATTAACTTAGGAAAATTTTAGTTGAAATTTGAGGTGTTCGACTTAGAAAAACTATATTGTTAATTGCTTGTGTTTAATTATTTTTAATGTTTTTTATAAACTAAAGAAAAACCAAAATTGTTTTTGTTTAACTGAGTGAACTTTCAATTATCTCTAGTTCTTGTATGCGTAGTGTAAGACCTACGAGACTTGCACCAAAAATAAAAGATACTTGAACAACTCGTAGGAGAGATGATGAACAATCTACATAACAACCCAACAATTTAAGAACCAACCCATGAACATCTAAATGCAAATAGACTCTTAAGAGACTATGTTAACCCAGATAAAGTTCACTTATATATTCAAACCCTATCGTAGAAGCTAACATTTGAATGGAAACCTGTTATCATCCAAATTGTGCAGAAAAACTAGTTTTGGCGAACTCTGTCTGAGGATCAAAACTTACATTTAGCGAATTGCTTAGATCTTTGTGCCATGTTTCGCTATAACGATGTTTCCAACGACACTGTTAGGTTAAGGCTTTTCCCTTTCTCCTTGAGGGACAAAGCCAAAATATGGTTAAACTCAATAGCACCTAGATCAATTAGAAGGTGGAGTGACTTAGGTCAGAAATTTCTAGCTAAATATTTCTCACCTTCAAAAATGGCTGAATTGATGAATGATATCACTTCATTTTTTCAGCATGAAAGTGAGTCAATTTTTGAAGCTTGGGAATAATTAAAGGAACTTCTTAGGAAGTGCCCTCATCATGCACTGCATGATTAGTTGATAATTTAAACTTTTTACAATGGGTTAGTAGGATCTCTTAGGTCTATTATAGATGTTGTTGTTGGTGGGTCGCTTATGTCGAAGTTATTTGATGAGGCCTATTCTCTAATTGAGGAGATGGCTGTCAACAACTTTCAATGGCTTTCAGAAAGAGTGAACCCCGAAAAAGGTAGCAAGTGTGCAAGACACAAACATGCTTTCGATTTAAACTTCTCAGGTAGCTACGAGATCAAGGAAGCTAAAGTAGTTTCGGATGAACCAACCTCAAGGACCACAAGTAATTGAGGAAATTTCATTTGGACAATTGGTTGATGCTAACACTTCATCATTTGAGACCTTAAATGTGATCAACAACCAAGATAAACAAATTCTTTCTAATTATTACAATCTTAATAGGAAGAATCTCCCTAACTATAGTTGGAAAACCAATAATAATGGTGAAGTAATTAACCTAACCCTTTTGGGAATTGGAACAATCAGGGTAGTTCTAATCTGAGATTGTTTTTTCTTCCTAGTTTTAATATAAACCAACCATTTAAGAAGAAGAAGTTGTCTTTGGAGGAAGTTTTTTTACAAATGGGTAATCAACTACAAAGCCAATGTGTAGCTATTAGAAGTATAGAGAACAAATTGGGATAGATTGTGAGTTCACTTAACAATCAACCCTAAAGAAAAGAATAGTGAGCATGTGAAGGCAGTTAAGTTGAAGAGTGGAAGAGAGTTGGAGGAAGTGGTCCGAAAAGATTTTGATGTGGAAAGAGAACGTGGAACCTAAAAGATCTATTGAAGACCTTTCCACATATTCAGTTAGACATGTCTCACCCCCTTAAGAATAACATAAAAAGACCACCACCACCTGAGTCAATTTTCACGGAGATTAAACCCTGTAATAAAAGAAGTTGTCAAGAAGGAGAATTTGAAGTGGCTTCATGCAGGTATTATCTATTATATCATATAGTATATGAGTTAACTCTATTCATTGTATTCTAAAGAAGGGGGAAGTGACTGTGTTAATGAATGAACAAAATGAATTGATCCATAATAGACATGTCACTGGGTGGTGTATATGTATTGATTACAAAAAATTAAACCTAACCACCGAGAAGGATCATTTTCCTTTACCCATCTTAGATCAGATGTTGGATATGTTAGATGGTCACCCATATTTCTGTTTTTTGGATGGATATTCAGGGTAAAATCAGTTTCTTATAGCTCCTGAGGATCAGAATAATATTACATTCATGAGTTATCATGTGTATTTTATGTTTAGAAGAATGCACTTTGGGTAATGTAGTGCACCTGCAACGTTTCAATGGTGCATGATGTCAATTTTCTGTGATCTAATTGAGAAGAGAATAGAAGTATTCATGAATGATTTCTCAGTATCACAGAGACATTGCCAAGAAACAAATCTTGTTCTTAATTGGAAAAAGTGTCAATTCATGGTATCATTAGGAATTATGTTAGGACATAAAATTTCTAAGAGAGGTATGAAGGTAAATCCAACCAAAATTCA